CTAAAATGGAAGAATGCTGTTTTTGTAACATGGGAAATATGATTTTCAAAAAACAAGTTGCTATCTAATATAACACCCAGATTTTTGACTGTAGAGGAAGTAACCGTACATCCGTCTAGTTGCAAATTGTAATCCAAGAGATTCTGTGTACTGTCTTTTGGTCCAATAAGTAATATCTCTGTCTTATCCGAATTTAATAAGAGAAAATTACTTTTACATTTTTAACACACTCTGTTAGCTTAGATAATTTAGAAGTTTCATCTGGTCTTGTTGAAATATATAGTTGCGTATCATCAGCATAACGATGAAAACTAATCCCATATTTTCTAATAATATTACCAAAGGGCAACATGTATATTGAAAATAGCAGAGGGCCTAGGACAGATCCTTGTGGCACTCCATATTGTACTGGTGATAATTGAGATGACTCCCCACTTAAAGCCTGCCCTTGAATACCTGTATAGTTTTGTAATCGATCTATGAGTATGTAATGATCTATAGTGTCGAACACAGCACTAAGGCCAAGTAAAACTAGCAATGAGATGCAGCCTTGGTCTGATGCAAGCAAGTCATTTGTAAATTTAACAAGTGCAGTTTCTGTGCTATGGTAGGGCCTGAAACCTGGCTGAAATTCTTCATAGAGATCTTTTTTTTTTTTTTTGCAGGAAGGAGCACAATTGAGCAGACACAACTTTTTTTAAAAATTTAGACATAAATGGAAGATTTGAAATGGGTCTGTAATTTGCCAGTTCACTAGGATCTAGTTGTGGTTTCTTAATAAGAGGCTTAATAACCTCCAGCTTAAATGGCTTTGGGACGTGACCTAAAGACAACGACGAGTAATATTGAGAAGCGGTTCTTCTGCTACAGGTAACAACTCTTTCAGTAATTTAGTGGGTACAGGATCTAACAGGCATGTTGTTGGTTTAGATGCAGTGATAAGTTTATTTAGATCTCCCTGTCCCATAGTTGTAAAGCTCTGCAGTTTTTCTTTGGGTGCAATGAATGAAGCTGAATTACAAGACGCTGTTGATTCTACATTTGTTACTGTATTTCTGATGCTATATATTTTATCAGTGAAGAAATTTATAAAGTCATTACTACTAAACTGTGAAGGAGTATTTCATTTGTGTGACGTCTGATTATTTGTTAATCTAGCCACTGTGCTAAAAACCTTGGATTGTTTTGGTCATTTTCTATGAGTTTGCGGATATGCTCAGCCCTGGCAGCTTTTAGAGCCTGTCTATAGCTGTACATACTGTTTTTCCATGCAATTCTAAAAACTTCCGAGTTAGTTTTTCTCCATTTGCGTTCAAGATTACGAGTTTCTTTCTTGAGAGAATGGGTATTGCTGTTGTACCATGGCGCAGTACGTTTTTCTCTAACCTTTTTTAATTTGATGGGGGCAACAGCTTCTAATGTATTAGAGGGTATAGAGAGCAATTGAGATAAATCAGGCAGTTTATTTGTAAATCTATCTTTGGTGGTTGGAACAATAGTTCTACCTGGACGATAACGTGGAGCCATATAGTTAATATCAGTAATAGGCAGAATGCACGATATCTATATCTATCTATCTATCTATCTATATATATATTATGTACATTAGTATCATGTGATATATAGAATATATATAGACATATTACATCTAAGAGTGATCTTGGCATATGAAAAAGAATGAGTGATTTTAAAGGTCAAATAATTTTGCCTGTTGTCCTAAAACATGACAGGATTCTTTCTAAAAAATGTGAATGCAGAAGCATTTTGCATTTTTCATGTCTTCTGCAGTCAGTCTCTGTGATTTGAGCTATGATATATTCAGTTTTAGCCTTTCAAGAGCATATTATATTTTAGGTTTCTCACAAAAAGCATGTGCATTACATCCGGTTCAGATCTGTACTGTTTTGTTCTACTTTTAAATGGAAATTGTCCTCCATATATTCACATAAAGGTAGAAATGTTCATGACACAAACCAGAGAGTTCACAGGGCAGTGCAGCAAGATTTCCCAAAGCTCAGACCCTGCCTACACCTCTGTTCATAACTGTTCATGTCTTACTCTCCTTTGTCCTGTCTAGCCTTGATACTGACAAGGTTGACATCAGAGGAGATCCCTGACACAGGGTGAGTTAAGGCTGCCAGCTGGTAGCAATTAAATCTATTTAGGAGTCAGGGACACATGGACCCCCAGGGCCAAAACCGTAACTAGCCCAACCCTTAGCTCTAACTCCCCCCAAAACCCTCTAGTTACCCAGTTCAGCTGTATTGATTCCAGATGTGCTGCCATCAGTGTTCCTCAGTGCTGGGTCTTTACCTAAGAGGACCCCGAAATAATGACAAGCTGTGAATGAGGGGAGGAAAAAATGCAGAGTAAACAAACAAAAGGTCAATCCACCAACAATTTGCTGACTTGCCTTGATTTTAAAATATGAATCAGTTATTTATAATTTTGCTTAAAAAAATTTTTTTTTCCCCCAACACTTTAGTTTGGGGTCCAATTTTCATTATTAACTAACTAATAACTATGACTTTTGCCTTGATAAACTCCTAATTTGCTGCTTATTAATAATTAGTAAGTTAGTTGTTAAGTTTAGGCATGGTGCAGGATTAAGGGATCCTAAAATATGGTCATGCAGAATATGGCATTATTATGTGCTTTGTAAGCTCTGATAAACAGCCAATATGCCAGTTATATGCATGCTAATAAGCAACTAGTTCAAAATTCACACATTCACATTTTTGAACAATTTCTGATAGCGTCTTATAAAGTTTTGTCCTTTCCATATGTTTATTTTCACAGTTGTTACTTTTCAAAACAGCTGCAAAAGGTTTGTTGTGATAGAAATTAAACACTTTGCACAACTATAATGGAATTTTTATTGATAACATTTGTTACTTCAGAATTCCATTTCGGGCCTGTCAAACTCTATCAGTGGGAGATTGATCAAGTCAGCTCTGACTTTGTTTAAGTTAAGGCTGGACATGAAAACAACCCCAGAAGCTGATACAGCATTCTGCTGACCTATCTCAACAGCCCTCAGACAGGCCAAATGTATCATGACCGGTCAGGAAATGGGCTTTGATATGAGGAATGCCTGAAGCTTGACACAGCCCTTGGCTTTACTGAACATGGACCATATGGGATGAGTTTGATTTAATCAAATCTTTAAAACTTGTAAATTTAGAATTATTTTACATTCATTTTCTTTCATTTTTTAACGTTTAGTTTTATTGCATAACCTAAACTTAACGTGACCAACACAGATCAGTTCACTTTTCACATAGTGACCCACTGCCCTCTGGTGGTAGCACAAAATAATGTTTTTTGGGGGAGTAAAAATCTTGTTTTAGTAATATTCTATACTCCTACACTATTCTATAGTCATATCGGCGAGCAAAAGAACATGTTATTCTGGGAGTGAATGTAAGATTAGAAATAATTAAATATAGGCTAGTCGTACTAATGACCATGCAGTTTCCTGACTTCAACATTTCCTGATGCCTAAAAGATGATGTGCTGCCAGATCCACTACAAATCAAGCAAACTAGACTGATAAAACAAGCCCAAAATAAGCGACTTCACAAAACTTCTTCACAAAACAATAATCGTGAATACGCGAATTTATTTATTTCTAGCTTCTTGGGAAGGGAGCACAAAAACTATAAAAGCAACCTGTACACACAAAGTAGCTTATAAACCGCGGACAAGGCAACACTTCACCTCAATGTATCCAAATGTTCATGAATTATTCAGAATGAGGTATATTATTACACTTTCATGGCTGGATTTCCCTGTTTTAAAGTCGTAGACATTAAATTTTTTTATTTATTTTTTTCAAAGAAAAATTGGAAATTTTTCGTTTCGATTCTTAATTCTTTGTAGTGAAACATTTCTGGACTATCGGCTTTTTGTTTTAGTGCATTAAAGATACAATATAGCCTATCCTCCGTTGGAATTTAGAGAATAACCAGAAATAATGAAAACACAAAAGAAATCGAGCTCAGTTGAGAAAACGGAAATCTCTTTCGAAACTCCTCACTGGAAATCAAGCGTTTCGAGCAGAAATGGCGTTGTTTCCCCGCCTACAAGTGATGTTGTGTCTTGACAGATTGAAAGTTAACTTGAACAAGCATGATGCATAAAATGCTGTCTTGCTAGCTCTCTATGTTTTGATACACAACCAGTGAGAATGTGTAGATATATTTGTCTGCGTTGAGCTCATTGATGTTTTTACTTGCCATAGTTGAATTTGTCCGTTGATCACTGATTTTCAGCACAATTTCAGTAGCGCTGCCTTGTTTAGCCTATTAAATATAAGATATTCAACAATTTGATTTAATCAGATTTATTTTTTATTAGTATTATTAGGTGAGTTAGAATTTATGGTGTGAATGTGTAATATATTTATAATTTTTAATATATTAACAAAATATTCTTCGATAGTGATTTATTCCTAGGTGGATTTTCTCTCTCATTTTCTTTTTGAAGTTCTTTATTAGCATTATTGTTTTGCAAAACATAAATACACATACAGCACAGTGAAAGAGAGCAGGTTAAAATGCATATTATATAAAAATAATGTGCCACTAATGTTGATAAAATAATTGCAATAATTAAAAATATATAATTAACTTTTAGCAAGAAATGAATGATCATTAAGACCACATTATGCAGAGTCAGACAATAGGCTCAGGAGTAGGCTATAAGGCTTATATGAATTTAATAAAATATGAAGCTCACAAAAGTAAGATGTTAGGTAGGAAAATGCTAAAGTATGAAAATAATAAAGTACCAAGGCATTAAAAATCGAAAATACTCACAAAAGTGTCAAGATACTCCCTTTACGTATGAAGATACAATTTTGAACAAAATAAATAGGCGCTTTCTGGCACACATAAAACTGGATTTAAAAAATGATGACATATCTAATGTCCTGTGTATATACAACGGAATATATTTCTAATAATATCCAGCGGGATAAAGTTTCTCATTCACCTGGTAGAAGAGCTGCATCAGGATGACCAATAGGCAACAGCTTCAGTGTCAGTGTAAAGCGAAAGTAGGTGGATAGAAAGAAAAAAAAAAAACAAACGCACACGGAAGGCGCAGACTTATATCTCTTTAGGTGTGTTAAAGAGCTGGCGTCGAAATCAGGTAAGTTGTGTTCTAACAGCATTGTATTTTTGCTATATAAACTACGGACGGTGAGTTTATCGCGACCTGAATTTGTTTATCGCTTAATGTTGTTGTAAGGAGGAAACATGAGTTTTGTAATAGCCCACTTTCCTCTACTGTACACGAAAATTCGCTGTCGAGCGAAGCGAGCGACCAGAAAAACAAAACAAAAAGCCATCAAAGAGCTCTCTTACGAATAAAAATCTCGCTTTGTAATAATTTAATCTCAGTATGATTGTGAAGTCGGTTTAGCTAGGCCATTATATATATATATATATATATATATATATATATATATTAGCTTACTTAAACGACACCAAAACGACCATATTTTTGTCTGGATACTCCATGACAAAATACGCGAGGACATTGCCTTCATGAGAATTCACATATTCAACAAGTTTCCTGTATTTGACTCTACTGGAAATATCAATGGAGTAAGGTCTACTTATGTGGCTTGAACGTAGCGGACTTCCATAGTATTGTGCTAAATGTCACGTAACGTTAATATGTGTATGTTTTAGTTTGATAGTGGAAAATACTTAAGTGTTAAGCACGAGCGCCTTCACGAATTCACGCCCTACTTTCTGTTCCCCATAGGCTGTATGTGGCATTGGTGTGTTAGGCTTTTTTTTATGCACTAGAGTGGTCTGTGCTTTGTAAACCTTCCTCACTGTTGTTGTTGTAACATTGCTTGTGTCAACTTCATACTTTGGGATGTAACACCCCCATGCTGTTATTTTACATAAATATTATATGAATACTAATGGATGGCTTTTCTGTGGCCTTTTAAAATGCACTAAAAATGCTTAGTGAAGTGTTTATTTCTGTGCAAAGTGGATTAGATGAAATAAATCAATGTTCTATCTGTCTATCATTGTTAGAGTTTTTGAGTTTCATGCTATTTGTTGATGTGTAGTTTTTGTCAGGGATGTGGACATGACCAAGAGTGCAATGCAATGATTAATTGAAATGATTCAGTTAAAGGTTAACGTAAAGTTTAATTAGGAAACAGTGATTGTATGCACACTTCTCTGCCAAACGAAAAATAGTATTTCCCTATTGTAGCCTGAAGAAATAATGAATACTTTCTCAGTTTTTAA